ATTGGCACAAAAACAGACATATGTATCAACAGAAAAGAATAGAGAGCCCAGAAATAAACCCACACACCTGTGTTCAATTAATTTTTGACAAAGGAGGCCATAATATACAATGGAGAAATGACAGTCTCTTCAGCAAGTAGTATTGGGAAAACTGGACAGCTGCATGTAAATCACTTGGGATAAGAGGAATAGGTATATACATGTTGTCTTCTTTATATCGTTACTTCATCTTAGCTCAAGGTATAATTTTATTTTCATCTACAAGATACTTGAAATTTTAGTTTGCATATTCTTGAGGTTGAGTGATTGCTACTTGCTCTAGGGCTGCTCACAGTGAAAGGAGAGGCAGTAAACAAAATGGACTGGTTGCAGTAGTGGCAGGGGTGTGTAGCCTGTCCAGACAGCATAGATTTGTGATCTACCTCTGCAATTTCATTGACCTAAGGGTGGGAGCAGAGAGAGTAGACAGTGGGAGTAGACACAACATAAAAATCAAAATAGGAATGTTAGAAATGGTAAGCATTATGTAAAGAATATGGATGTGGAGTTGTATCTGCTTGAGTTGAAACCTGGCTCTGCCACTGTGATGCTTGTTCTTAGCCAAGTTATTTTATTTCTCTAGGCTGCGCCTGAAGAAGGAAAATACTAATACATTTTTTTAGAATAGTTGATATATATAAAATCTTTATCTATCTGTCTACCAATTGTCTAGCTATATTGGTAGAACAGTGTATAAGTGTGTGTATATATATAAAATCTGTATCATCTGTCTATCAACTATCCATGTATATTTGTTCACCTTTCAATATCTGTACTTTGCATAGTAATTTTCAAGCCTGTAATAGATTTGCATCACTTGGTAGTTATTAAATATTGTAGTCAATTTATTGTTAACTTGAAAATATTTAGTGAGTATGAGGTATAACTGTTTGGTATTTTTCAATATTAGAAACCAGGCAGAAAATGGAAACATGTGAACTCCAAATGGTACTCAGATACTGAGAAGTCAGCAGGACTCTAGGAGCCTAGTGAGACTGAAGAGGATATTTAATAAAGGGAGGGGAAGTGCAATTTAGAAGATAGAAAACAGTCAGAGAAGAAGGTTCTAGAATATCAAATTTGAGATGCAGGAAATTAGCAGGATGTCTGTATTTAAGGGTGTGGTCTTCTGGTGATTAGCTTAAGTGATGTTGGTGGGTCATGGAAAGTGATGTGGTCAGAAGCTAGGAAACTAGTAACCAATTGTGGTGAAACAAGGGTCTCACATGGTGCAGGATGGGATAGGGCAGTACAGGGAGGAAAAATGGAGCAAGGTCTAAAACTGGCTTTCAAAGATGCATACATGTTCTAGAGGTTGGTTTATGGCTTTATGAGGAGATAGAGGTGATACAAAACTTTCAAGAGGAGGAATTTTTTAATGAAGGCAGTCGTATAAGGATCTGACTGTGGCTGAGGGCATCAAGCAAAATTTCCTGGAGGCATATACTTTATAGAGAGTGGGATAAAGATTATTTTTATTAGAAAAGTTGCATGTATGCTGTTGTGAGGGAACTTCCAGGTTTACTTAGCTCATAATTCAAGGGAGAACCCAAGGAAGAGGGAAGCATGCTCGTAACAGAATAGAGACTCTGTTAAGATGGTGGAAGGGGCTGACTCAATATAATATAGACAATGATCTGCTACCTATTGACCCTATTCCTTCTTTCAAAATTTTCTTTGTACTGGCCAGGGTTCCAGTCAAGAAAAGAAGGCATCTTTCAAGTAGAAAGGGGATCTGTAGAGGTAACTATGTGCTTACGAAGTGCTGGAAAGAATGATTGAAGAAATGGAAGGTAAGGGTCTTCCATTGTCTATTGGTCTTAGGATTGGATGGTTATAGTAATAGTTGTGAGTCAAAGTGCAAAGCTGTTTCTGCCACTCCACTGCAGGCAGAATTCCTCATATGCATGAAGCAGTAGTGGTGCTTTAAACACATCAGTCTGATCTTGCTTGCTAGTAGCCAAAGCAGCCAGAAGATGGCTTCTGCCCAACTTCTGCCTTCTAATTCCCATGTTAATGTATCCTACTGGATTGAATCCAGTCACATTCAGACTACTAGCTGTGTCTTGGAAATATAATTTTTAATTTTTTCTGTTCTGACATAAGAAGTGCATATAAGTTATTGGGATTTGAAGACAAATGGCAATACAGCATATTAAATACACTCTTCAAGTTCTTATGTCTTTTTTTGTTATCTAGCTTAGATTATATAGTTCACTCCTGTAATCTGTTCCTTGTATACTCTCGTAGACCATGTCCATGCTCAGTAACCTTGGTTAGTCTTGATGACATATGAAGAAAAAAAGTATGAAAAACAAGCTACCTATCTGGCTCACACAAAATTCCTTAAAAGTCTATATAGTGGAACTTTCAGTGTGATGCACCCCTTCCCTGTTTAAAATGTTCAAAGGTCAGTTCTGGGTTCTGTGATCTGGTGGATTCTTCAGTCTATCTTGGCTGTTGTGATGCTCCTAAATTTGGGTATTCCTACATGAGGAAGAGGCGAAGTACCAGGGAGCCACACAACTCACTCGCATCACATTTTCTTGATCTCTGCATATCATTTTCCTGCTTGTTTATATGTCTGATAATAAAAAGTGAAATTATACTTAGCCAAGTCTGAGTTGCCATTAAATTCACTTTGTAAACTTGCGGCAGCCTTTGTGATGTGGCTTAACTCATGTACAACTACAACTTTGTGAGTAGCTCCTCTTCCCCATCTAACTCTGTCCTTCCCTCCTGGCAAAACTGGGCTCCTGGTTACACTCAGTCCTCCTACTTGTCCTGCTCTTGCATATATCCTGCCTGCTCAGAGTCTCTACCTAAAAGTTGTGGTAGGCAAATTTCTAAGGATCTTCCCCTCATGATTTCCATACCCTGGTTACTTAATCAAACTCTAATCTAGGTAGTATTGTAAAGGGACTTTCCAGATATTACTAAACTATAGGTCTTTGAAAAGAGAAATTATCCTGAATCATTTTGGTAGGCCCACTCTAATCACTTGAGCTCTTCAAAGTAGATGTATTTCTCTGGCTGGAGGCAGAGTGATGCAGGAGAAGAAGAATGAGGCAAAAGACATGTGTGGGAGAGATGAATGAGCCTTGAAACAGATTCTTTCCAGAGCCTCCACAAAGGAATGCAGCCTTACTGATACCTTGATCTCAGCCTTGTGAGACTCTAAGCAGAGGAATGATCCTAAGCCTTGAAGTTGTATGGACTTCTGATGTATAGAACTGTGACATAATGCATTTGCACTGTTTCAAGATGCTAAGTTTGTGGTGACATGTTATGGCAGTAATAAAAATAATACAGAAGTTAAAAAGAGGTCTCAAACTTAATATATCCATTTCAGAACTTAGGATGTTCCAAATCCTTAAACCTTGATTCTTCTCAAGTCTTTCCAGTCACCAAATGACATCATTATTCACACACTTACTTGGGCCTATAATATCAGAGTTATTTCTAGATTTTTTTCTTTAAAAAACACACCCAACACTGATCAAATACTTTTGGATATTTTTTAGCTATTTCTATATCTGACCCCTTCTCCCCATCTCCACTGATACCTGCCTAGTCTAAGCCACCACCTCTCTCACTAGATTTCTTGACATAGCCTCTATTCATGGCCCCCTAAACAGTATGGTATTTATAGAGCAGCCACAGAGATGAAGCTTTGAAAATGTCAATCAGATAACATTATTCCCCTATTTAAAGCTCCAAGGACCTCCCATCACATTTAGAATGAAACTCAAATCCTATGTCCTTGATGTGATCTGTCTCTGGCTTCTTGGTATTGTCTCCTTTGTTACTAAGACTTGGCCAGATTAATATCCTTCTGGTCCTGCTGCACACAGAATGCGCTGCTGCTTCAGGTCCTTCCATTTTTGATTACTTCTGCCTTCATTGTTCTTTCAGCAGATCTTTTAATACTTTATTTCTTAACATCCTTCAAGTCATTGCTTAAATATCACTTCATCAGAGATTCTCCATGGTTTTCCCCAATAAAACAGTCAATCACCACTTCTTTTTATCTCCTTACCCTTCTTACTATTTTTCAAAGCACTTCTCACTCCTTAAATTACATTTACAAATGTCTACTTTGTTTTTTCTTTTTGTCACATTAGAATGTAAGCTTCCTGAAGGCAATGACTTTGACGGCCTTCATATTGCTGAGTGCTAGTTACTAGAATAGTCCCTGTATCATGGCAGACTCTCAACATGCATGTGTGGAAGTAGAGAGAACACTAAACATATGTAAGCAGAGTTAGGTTTACTTTAGGTATCTTTGAGAAGTTTTGATTCGTAAGTATTTGGTGACAATGCGGGTAGTTGAGTGTCCTTAGAGAAAATGCAGTTTATACTTTGACAGAAACATAGGAAAAGATACAGTTCTCAAGATATAATGAGGCCAAATTGGTCATAATACTTTTGCTTAAAATCTTACCTAATGGTAGGAAGCGATGGAAACTTGGAACTCTTAGCCATCAGCCTTTAACTGTTGTTGTTTGAAACCATCATTTTGTTCGGAAAATGATTTTTTAATATGAAATTCCAAGATTTGTGCCTCATTTAACCTCACTTAGATATTTAGATTTGCTAGGAAGGTGTTTCTGCTCTGGAATTGAACAGACCATGTGAAAGTTTGTAAGTAATGATCACATGGTGCTGAGGAAGTTGTCAGGGGGTGTTTTGTGGGGAGAGCTGATTATTTAATGTTATCATCTGTTAATATGTATTTTGTGTTTTGTAACTGTGTGATGGGTTGCAGTACTCAAGAAGGCACCCTGTTGCCTGCTCTTCCAGCTTCATCACCCTAAGCTGCAAGTCCAGGTATCTCATTGTATGTTTCCCTAATTACCTCTTTGGCCTCATGGTACAAGGTCAGGCTTCTGGCATCACTAATATTCATTTGGGTGGCATAAGTAGGGACAAACCGGTGGCTCTGATGATGACACTGGAGGTTTCATATCATTGCTCAACGCTTTATTTTCACATTGTTGGCATAATGTTCATGTATGTTGTTTTACAATTTCTTTCTAAGATTTTTTTTCTCCACAAATCTCAGAGATTTTGGAATATCTCATCCTTGTCTGAAAAAGGAAAGAAATATATCTAAAAATTTCTGAAACATTGAATTTTGGGTAGTAGAAGATAGAGTTGTGGGGTTGGTGGGGGTCCGTTT